CTCTCATTGGCATTGCTCATTTGCACTACAAAATTTAATGAACTTACTTCATAAAGATCCCGGCTACTCCAGGTTACTTCTCACGTCTTACAACGCGAAGTAGTTGATAAGCCGTTGGATCAATTACAATCTCGAGATGACTAGATGAGTTGGAATTTGTTTTGATGACGTGGATTGAAATGGTAAAATCAAAACCAACGAATTTATTAAATTAAAAAGATTGGGTTTTTCTCGCTCTCTCTCTTCTTGAAAAAGCTAGGGTTAAACATTGGAGGTATGTATATATCAAAGAACCTAGTTTGGATGTAGTGAACCCTAGTGGGACCGGAACAAAATTTGGACCAATCACAAACCTGGTAGCTTTCACCAGGTGGGACCCCCTGGTGAACAAAATAAAATTCTATATCAAATCAAACTTTTCCCAACTTTAATTGAGATCACCCATTGTTGGGGAAACTTTTAATTTTATTAAATGTTTGCAATTTGCAGTTATATAAGTTGTTTGAATAACAAATTTTGTTTAACCCAACCATTGGGGATGCTCTTAAGAGCTCAGTTAAAATTTGCGAGGCCTCTTATGAGAAGTTGAAATCTTTCTACATGGGAATAAGAATTCAGAGCTTTTTATTTGTGCATCCTTTAATATGTATATTTCCATGTTGTTAGTTTAAACAATTATTTCCCTACTCTGACTTTGTTATCCATTATTTGTTGTTTTTGGCAGTAATTAAACATGTTAATAAGGTATTGCATGACTTGCTCTTTGCCATTGGGGATTGAAGTATTGTTTTGAACTTCAGTTTATAATACATATCAGTTCAACTTCTGATATTCAGCTGAATGGATTGTGTCTGTGTTTGTCGAAATTATAAAACTTGACGACTCGCTTGCACAGGCAATGCAAGTCACAAGCAGCAAAAAAGAGTGGAGTGCTTAAGCGTTAAGGTTAGTTCCTTGATCATTTCACGTATCTGCTTTGATATTGAGAAATTAGGTAGCATGGTACTAACATTGGCTACCATGTTGTTCATCTTTGCGCTAGTACTTGTTTTTAAAATTTCTCGTATCTGTTTTGATTTGGACAAAGGTTGCACCTACTATGCCACACAATATATACTTCTGTAGAATTCTGTCGGGCTCAACATCATGATGCTAATCTTATTAGAACTTGTATGTTGCAGAAGTCAAATTTTATTATGTCTCTTTTCTTTGTGAGATTGTTTGTAACTTCATTTGTAGTTTAATTTCCGGATACGTATATATAGGTCATTTTGAATCTTCTGTTGGTTGGTTCGCCCAAGTATTATGTGGTGAATTAATGTTCAATATTCTACATATATCTTCTGTTTTTGTAGGCTATGAAGGTTGAGAATATGGTGAAAAAAATTTGTCAAGAAGGCTTGATATACAACTAGATGAACTCATTGCAGAGCATGAAAGGCAACAAAAAGTTTTTCATGATGAGTTGGAAATATTAACTATTGAGGCAAAAATTCATGTCTCTGAGGTTGAAAGAAACAATTCTGATGCGTTGGAGGTTGGTTATTTCAATATTTGTGTTTCACACTCCTAGTAATAGATTGACAACTGATATGTGATTCATGCACTGTTATTTTGACTCAAGACATGTAATATACGTCTTACAAACACACTTTGTTGGACAATGGATTTTGTAATTAATTAAGTTTGATCTTTAGCTCAAATGGTAGAGCACTTGAGAACACATCTCAAGCGATGGTGGTTCAAATCCTCCAAGATCTTTGATGTACACTTTTAATTCAAATTTACCTACATATTGTTTGGTTACCACTGTGATTCTTAGACTTGTTATTTGGTTTTCTGATCAAACCCAGTCTCATGGTGCACCTTTATATATAAGAAACAAATTTAACTATTGTATCCTGTTGTACTATCAAGGAGTTTCCAAGGGACATTTTTGCAAACAAGGAGTTTCCAAGGGAGAATGTATTATCAGCAGAATTAAAGGAACAATATGGTTCTAGACTTCTAGTATAACTTCAGATTGTCGAAATTGAAATAAATATGAAATGTACTCAATCGATGGATAATTGCCAGTAAGCAAAAGTCAACTTCGAAGAGGACTAGCTAATACCAACTCGGCAAAAAAGAGTACTCATTCTGTGCTGCTGTGACATCATACAGTTGTTCACTGAATGCTGAAATTTAGACGAAGGGATCCTGAATGAAGAATAAGTGTAGTGTTAAAAGAGTTACAAATTTAATAATTTGTTCACGATAAGTAATGAAGTATTTATCTAGGGAAAATTATTAAGATAAAAAATACAGTTTTCGCTAGCATGATCAGGATTGATTAGAATAGATTCCTACAAAGAGGAAAAAAAAACCAGAACAGATCAGATAGGTTGTTATTATGGATCAGAACTCTTTAAAAATGTAGTAAATTAGAGAATGAGAGTTGGTAGGTTTAGTTTGCCAAACGAGAAAAAAAAAACAGGACGATGAATTTTAAGACTTCAAGTTTTGTTTCAATACTAACAGAGAACGAGAAAAACGAAGAGAGAAGACATCAAAACAAAGAGTTTAGGTTTTGTCAAAATATAATTTTGGTTCTTTTGGTAAATTCTCTAATAAATTACCATGTCATATGCCATGTCAGCTGCTTCGCGTAATAATACGTGAGAAGTAGCCTGGCTCCTTCATAAATGCTAAGTAATGTTAAATTGCAATCAATTTTTACCTCCTGCATTATACACACTTCGAAAAAGAAATATCAATTAATCTGATTATCTTGAGTTCTTGAATCTTAACCATTGATTCAACAGAGTTAATATAATTTTTCTTT